AAATTTGTTGAAGTGAATTGTTTGTGTCTTCATAGGAACTGATACTGGAGGAAGTGTCAGAGTCCCTGCATCTTATTGTGGAATTCTCGGGTTTCGGCCTTCACATGATGTTGTCCCTACTGCTGGCGTTACTCCTATGGGACAGAGTTTTGATACAGTAGGTGAGGACTGATTTCTCTTAGTTGGTGGATTGAATTGCTCTTGCATATTTTTTCTGATATTAATGATATTACTGGGGTTGGGGCCCCCAAATTTTCAAAGCTGTCATCTCTGAGGCCTCAGCCTTTCATTTAACTACGAGACTTTGACTTCTCTGATAACATCTGATACTTCTGAATCATAGAGTCTGAAGGACAGTCATTCATCTCATAGAGTTCTTTAATTTGGTGACACATTCTTTTTGACATCCAATTCTCATATAGGATGGTTTGCTAGGGATCCTTTGATTTTGAGTCGCGTTGGGCACATACTGCTGCATTTGCCTATGGTGGATCCTATCAAACCAATTCAGGTTATTATTCCAGAGGATTGTTTCTCCCTTTCAAGCATTCCGAGCAATCAAACAACTGAAGTTCTTATAAAATCAGTGAAGAAGCTCTTTGGGGGTAAGATTGATTTTTCTACCTGTGGTCTATGTAGCAGATAAATCCATACAATTTTACCTGTGGAATTTCTTTATGCCATGGATACAAGAATCCTGAATTGGAGTGTAAAGGCCCTTAAAATTACATAATCTTTACTCTTGAGTCTTTTAATAAAAATTTATATTCATTAACGAGAATTTATGTCTTGTGCAAACTAAGAATGCTGTTATTTTGCTGCATATTTAACATTCAAATTCTTTGAGAATGTGAATCAATTTGTTAAGTAGTAGATCAGTTGCCATTTTAAGCGTTTTGCCTATGCAGATCATATTGTAAAGCATGTTAAACTTGGGGACTACGTGAAGGATAAAGTACCAAGCTTGCAAAAGTTCATGAATGTGGGAGATGGAGATCCTCTGTATAATATAGCATCACTGGCTGCCCTATCAAGTGCAAGGAGCTTGCTCCTGAGGTGCAAAGAATCCTAAAACTTACAATAACATTCACATTTCTCATAATCGTGCTAGATGTCAGGCATTCTTGATTATTGCTTTTTGAGCACATTTGTTGTTTGAAACATAGGTATGAATTCAAGAATAATCATGCTGAATGGATCACTACAGTGAATCCTGATTTAGGTCCAAGAATATCTGAAGAGGTATGGGAAGCTGTTAGAACAACAGGAGAAAATATTGATACTTGCCACTCTGTAAAGATCGAGTTTTGTGCTGCTCTTTC